ACTTTGCAGAGAGAGAGGCAATCATGACCTGAAAAATTAAGTGGAGTAATTTACAAATAGGCTTTTGTTTGGCTAGGTTTTAGCTTATTCAGGACTTGCCTTTAGATTATTTTAGCAACACATGCTCCCCTTTCCCCACCCCATTGGCAGTATATATTTTGGGCGCCTGATACATACTGAAAATGAAAAATTAGTTTTTCGTATGTTGCTTTCTCCTGGTCCACATTGGAGAGTCCTTCTGACCCTTTTATTCTCAAAATCAAACACTATCATTTTCCTTCTTCAGAACATTTTATCTTCTCACCTTACCGTCTGTCCAAATTTCTTCCCACATGGGCCAGATGAGTATGTTATGAATGAATGAACACTGGGCCCACTTCCAGCTTTTCTCCGTAAAACCAACTTTGACTGAAGTCCACAGTGAGTTTCCTCTCTTAATTTCTTTACAATTCATAGTCTTAATAATTTAGCACTTTAAAAAATATATTCCCTTTCCCTTCTTTTGAAAATATTTAGTCCCTTCTCCTCCCTGCCCTGACTGTATTAGAAGCTATCTGCAGAGGGCTGACTTCTAAGTCAGATAAACTAGAATGAAAGCACTGCCATTTACTAGTTGTGGCATCTGAGGCACCTGGGGATGATAATAATAATAATTACTTTATAGGGTTGTTGAAGGGGGTAAAAGAGGCAGGTTATATGAAGCATAAAACTATTATATGAGCTCATTAAATTCTTGTTCTGAGATTAATTTGCTGTTTCTTTTCTAGGCAAAGCTTTCTTTTTAGGGAGTGGAGGGAGAGGAAGACCTCTCCTTTTTTAAAACCAAGGACACATGTCCCCAGTTTTTGTCCCCCAAACTTATGTCCCCTTAAACTATTGAAGATTTTGTGAATTTTCATTTAATTTCATTCTTGAAGTTTAGTCAATTGTTTATTGCTTTCAGATCATTTTTCTTAACAGACATTAATTGAACTCCTATTATGTGTCAAGTATTGTACTTGACACAGTAAAGAAAATTTCTATTAACTTCTAAAATCCCTGTCTGCAGATCTGTGAAATAATTTTTTATGCCATGGCTTCATACAGTATTCTTCCTTTCCCCATTCCCCATATGCCATCTTAAAAATTAAACTTGGGGAAGGGAAGAAAATATCTATGGAGAGAATCCAGTGGATTACAGCATTCAAAGTTATTTCAACAGCCTGAACACCTAGGATACTGTTTGTGCACGGTATGAGCCATACCCAACTAATGTCATCCTATAGCTATTATGCTTACATTAACATATTGTTGTATACAAGTAACTATGCCTTACATCACATCATTTGGGCCCCTTTGTCTTTATTTTATTATTAATAGATGTAGATCCACGACTTTAACTCATAGTCGCCATAGTTTACCCCATTTTAAGTTTGCACATACAATCCATTTAGTCATAAAACACATTGATCTAAAAGCAATATTTAGGTAGTCTAACAGTATTAACAGTCTACCACCAAAAATTCCTGACAAATTTGTTTTTGTAAAGGTCAGAGCATTCATAGTTTCTAGCTAGGATAAAGCAGCTTACTTAGATTTACAAGACAAAAACAAAGCTAAAACGAGTTTGCCTTGATCATACCAAAAACTCAGTAATTGTTTGTCTCTTCCCACTTGTAGTAACAGATAGCAAACGGATTATTATTGACATTGGTAGTTTCATGAAATTTTCAAATTGGGAGATACCAGCTAGTCACTTGTTCCCCAAATTGTGGTTTATGAGCCTGCAGCATTGGCATAACGTAGGAGCTTGTTTGGAATGAAGAATCTCAGGCCCGCCCTAGACCAATTGAATCAAAATCTGTATCTTCACAAAATACCCAGGTGATTTTTACACTCCTTAAATATTTTGAAGCGCCATTCCAATCCACCTTCACCTCTGTCCTCCTTTAAGATATGAGAAAGTTCAAACTCAGAGTTAGTGTAGAGCTAAGATTAGAACCTCAGCCCCCTGACTCCAAGGTTACTGCTCTCTTCTGTGCTCAGAGCAACCTCAATAGCTTCTGAGTACAGCGTGGAAGTGAGTGGCTCTTGCCCACCACTTGACGTTTGGTGGTCTAGTAAAGTAGACTGCAAGATTAGAGAATCACCTTCTCTTTAACCCCCATTCCTTTTCTGTGAGAAGCTATTTGGCTTATCACCCCCTATTGCCTAAAGCCTCCCAAAGAAGAGTGAAGCCTTAATGAGGCTAGAACCCTCTTATTGTCTTGAATTTTAGATGTTTGTCAGCATCTATGATAGGAATTTTACCATCTGACATTGTTTCCCTAACTCGCAGCTCATGGTTGTGTAGTGCATCTCCATTCATACGAGGAGGAGAAAAAGCTGAGCCAAACCCTGTTAACAAAACAGTCCCCTGAAGGGCTATAATATTGCTCAGTGGTAATATCATCCCTATGCATTTTATCTTGTACATGAAATCTGGACTAATTATCATTTTCTCATACAGTACATTTTAGACCATTGTGTTTTTGTGTCCCTGCCTAGTTCATTAAGCAGGGTTTTACAGCTCCTCCAGTAACAGGATTGCTATTGACACTTTCATTAGACCCATAATTCAAATGCTTGTCTGCCTTCCAAATGTAAGCCTCTGAGTCCAGAACCACAATCTGGCCACCGACCATATGTTGGCTTTTAGAACTGTCATAAACTCATCATCACATTCAAGTTCTTGAAGGGTCAAAATCTGCTTTCTTGGTGAACTGTCTTTATCCAACAAACAGTCAACGTGTTCTCCAAGAATAGTCAGCCAGTTTTTCTCTGTCTCTCTCTGAAAACTCTTCCAGACAGTTCTTGGTGTGGTATGACTCTAGTACAAATAATCAGTGTCCACATTTAAATATTAATTCCCTTATTTATTCATTCATTCAATTATTTTTATAATTTAAGACCAATATGCCAAATATTATGGCAGTTGCTGTAGTGATTTAAAGATGAATAAGATGGTGTCTGCCTTGGAGTTTCTTATAGTCAGAAGATATGTATGTAAATCACTATGTGAAAAATTTTACCACTAAGTTGCCAGCAGTTGGAATGGCGATGATTGTAGATTTCTTTGCTCTTGAACTAATGGCTATTATAAACACTGTTTCTTTACCAGTGGTTCAAATGGAAATAGACTCGACTAGACTAAGTAGAACCGTGTGTGTGTATGAAATATATCACAGAATATAACCTTAGGAGCAAATGAAGCCAATTCCTTAATAATACATCTGATGGGCATTAGAGAGAAGGTGGGATCGCATCAGAGACAGCAGTTGCTTTAGTGATCATGAAAAATAGTTTTTCATTATCAGTAGGATTTTGATTTCCTCTCTAAAAAGGTTCAAGAAGAAGTTCAATGAAAACATTTGATTTAGTTTACAATAAACTTTTTAGAGGTGCCTCCTAGACATCAAAATTTTTGCTTTTGGCTGGGCGCAGTGGCTCATGCCTGTAATCCCAGCACTTTGGGAAGATGAGGTGTGTGGATCAATTGAGGTTAGGAGTTTGAGACCTGCCTGGCCAACATGGCAAAATCCCATCTCTACTAAAAATACAAAAACTAGTAGGGGGTGGTGGCACATGTCTGTAATCCCAGCTACGGGGGAGGCTGAGGCAGGAGAACTGCTTGAACCCAGGAGGCAGAGGTTGTAGTGAGCCAAGATTGTGGCACTGCACTCCAGCCTGGGCAATAGAGCAAGACTCTGTCTCAAAATAAATAAATAAATAAATAAATAAATAAATAAATAATTCTACTTTTAATTTTTGCAGAAGTAAATATCTTGAGCACGAAGTCTGAGCAGATTACATAACATCAGTGTGCAAGAGAAGATTTTATCCTTTACAGAAGACTTTTAGCAATTTAATTAACAGAAAATTGTACATCATATTTTTTAATGTACATTTGGATATGTTTGGTTTAAATGACTACTGACTGATTGGATACTGTGCTTTTGCTTTCTGTCCAATTAGATTAGAGAGAAAAAAAATTGTTTTGGGGTTCTTTCATCTTCCTTACATCTATGCCTAAAAAAAAAAAAAGAAAGAAAGAAAGAAAAGAAAAAAAGAAAGGAAAAAATGGAAAAGACAAAAGTATAGGCTGGTGCCATTTATTCAAGTCTTTTCATAGGTGTTGACTTTACCTGAGCATACACATTGGATTACCTACCTCATTAGCTTTCTTCTAACGAAACCCAGAGCCACTCTCCTGAAATGGAAAGGTCCTTTTCTAGAGTGGACTCAGACTGTTAAGCAGAGGAAGTGTGTGAGGCTGGACTCCACTGCTGATTGGAGTGATGTGGCTTCATTTTGCAGTAATATTGCTCTGCTATTGAAAAATGACATCAGTATTCTCCCAAGTGCATTTCATTCTACCACGTGTGCCTTCATACACATGTCCAATCACGTGATGGAGGTCAACAACAGTGTAGGGTTTAGAAATTGTTGCTTAGAAATCACACTCACTTAAATACCTGAATCTGTCCATCAGCCGTGCCATAGCTTATTCCAAGCCTGTGCAGAAGAGTGATTTGCAGTCTCCTTGCTTTTCATTTCAAGTAGCATCACTCACTTTAAGCCAGATATTCAGGCCTCTTCAGAAACCTCCAGGGTGAAGGACAAGTAAGAAGAAGCTGATCAAATCTTTCACAACTGTGGCCAGCTACATCTACTCCTGCATTAAACTCAGTACATCTTCCTTTGGTGTTTTATTTCAAAATCACATATTCTTCCTTTTACGTGACAAATAATAGAGATTTTGCCACACAGTTTCAGGATCCAGATGGCTCTTTTGTGGTTCTATACATTTAATTGATCACTATCCAGGTTGAAGTCTGAGCCAGAATGTCTGGGATGGAAGAAGAGGACATAATGTTTATTTTTGCCAGTGCTTCTTTGAGTTATCTTCTCTCATCGTCTATAAACTCAGGTTGCATAACTACATTCTGTTTTTTTTTTTTTTTTTTCTTTTTCACTTACAGGGACTTACCAATTTGGGCTCCGTCCAGGAGCTGAAAACTGATTACAAATATGAAACGGATTTCACTACAGGACTTGAACTCTACATTAAAAAACAATGAGCTTCCCAAAATAATTGAAAAAGATCTTCACCCAAGAGTAGCTGCAATGTGAATGGCAGGATATGAAGCAAGTAAAAGGTAAATTTTGTATGAAAATATCTTTTCTTTATGGCCAGATATATAGAAAATGTTCATATGGCCTTAAAGTAGCATTCTTTCTCAGGTAAAGGTCAGAGGATGGAGGATATTTTATATAATCAGCAAAAAAAGCTGAATGATCCAGGCTATCCTGGGCCTATCTGTCTAGCTATCAATTATAGAAATATTGCAGAATGCTAGATTCTTTCTACAAACGCTATTTTGGAGGACTGGGCTTGCTTAGTAAAAGAAACATCCTCCACAAAAAGCATCCATGGGAACATTTGATAATTTATTGTGCTTCAGAAATTCTGGTGCACCATCTTGAAAACCTACCTCCTGATTACAAAGGATCAAATAAGGAGCAAAAGGCAATAAAGCTTTTAAATCCTTTTTATCTTGAAGTTTGAAGACAAAATATAAAGAAAGTGGATTGGGCTTCCCAGAATATAAAAAGATCATCTGGATTAGGTACTTGCCATCTTAGCCTTTTTCAGTATGAAAAGACAGAAAAATGAATATGTGCATGTGTGTGTGTTTATACATACACATACACACATACAATGTGTGCGCATATATATATATTTACACATGCAGTTAATACCTCAGTCTCAGTTGTTTCTCTCCTATGGCCTATTACATCATTTCTGGCTTCATTTTTTCTGTCCTGCCTGGAAGGGCCTATGAGTTGCCAGATTCATTCTGGGACTTGTATGAGTCCAAAGAATAGAAGGAACAAAAGCCATGGTGACCTACTCTCATGAGGAAAGCAGTGAGTTTGGAATGTAGCAATGAAAGGCATTCAATCCTCCAGAATAAAAAGGCAGAATGGGGGTGGGGTGACTGATACCTGAGGTGTAAGTGTGGAGAGACTCCAGTGAGTGAGGATGTGGTATGAGAATTCTAGGAGATGGTGGGAATGATTTGGGGAGAGATGATGGAGTTTGAACAGTGAGCATGTGAGCTCACAGAGTGAGCTATTCAGAAAAGCAGGGTATTAGAAAATGAGAGATGATGGGAGGTATTAATAGTAATTGCCATGGACTGTATTTTTGGCTTTCCTTTATTTCTTCAATGAATGAGTAAAGGATAGAATCCCCCAATTTTCAATGAAATGTCACTTCAGGTCTGAACACATGGGTGCAGCCTTTGATAAGGTTTCACCCACAAAGCAACCATCTCACTGGGTACTCTGGCAATGGGATTCTTTTTAAAAGAAATCATAGTGTCTTCTCAATGCCCAAGCTTCTGCTTGACCACTGGTTTTCCAGTTCTTTTCATATGGCCTAGTTTTATAAAGTACAGAGCTAAGAAGGAGCTGCCCTCAGCTTTAGCCTTGGAGGAATCACTAACTAGTTTCAGGACCCCAAGTCATTCATCTAAATTAATGATGCGCACTAATTAGGGATATGGGACTAGGGAGTCACGGGTTTTGCACAGGCTATTTAACCTTCTTCAGGCATTGTTTCCTGTATCTATACAGTTGGGACATTAGAAGAATCTCCCTTGTGGGTTTTTTTTTTTTTTTCAATGAAATGTTGTATGCAACGCTTCACAGTACTAAGCTCAACAAATATTAGCCACCATGGTTACAGCTGCTAGTATTATTATTGGTGGTGGCAGCAATGTTAATCACTGGCCCTCAGTTTCCTCATCTTTAAAATGAAAGGATAAGATAAAACTTCCTCTCTGCTCCCTTCCAGCTCTAAAAATACTTTCCATAATTCCTGAGTTGAAGAACACCTCCCACAAGAAACAGGCAACGGGCCACGAGACAACTCGTTTTCACCCTAAGTCTCTTACAAATATTCAGGTTATTTTAAAACGCCACTCCCTGGAGAGGGCCCAAGATTTCATTTAACATGAGCTTTGCCAATTTCAGTATCTTGCTCAGTACTACTTGCATACTTGTATTACTGAATAAGAAAAAGGGTTGGGTTTTTTTCTCTTTCCATCTATCACTGAACCTACTTGAACTACTTATAATTTATTCTGTAGGTATGGCGACACTAGTCAGTAGTTCTGCCATTTACAAAAAAAAGGTAGATATTCTCAAAAGTATATTTTCCTTTTCCTTTTCTTCCTCCACCCTCTTTTTCCTCTTTTTTTTTTTTTAAAGATGTTATTAAAACCTCAGTTCTTCTGTGAGAGGAAACAGACCATCTCTTTGAAAGACTTTTAGGCTATTTCTGCTCTTTCCTTGATTTGCTTGGTAGCATCTCGGCCACAGGAATACAATACTGATAGAGTTGTTGATTGGTCCTAGAATATATCACAGCCCCTAAACACATGAAATTAAAAAAAGAAAAAAGAAATCAACATGGTTCTGAAAGGAAGGTAGTTAAAATTCAGAAAGAGAGATTCTTTAATTAACTTAATAAAATTACTAATGGAAGCATTTTAACTGCTAAATTTAATTTACTTGTCAAGATATCAGGCTACAAAGAGGAGGGAAGAGTAGGAACTCTGCTTCCCATTATGATGTTCTCTATTATAGAATAAATTTGCTTAAAATGAAATATATCACCAAAAGCCATCAATGACATCTTAATTTGGAACAGCCAGTTGAAAAGTAATTAGACTATGAAGCAATCAGTTCTATTAAATCAGTGTTTCCCTTTACATAAACATACATTTTTTTTTTCCTATTTATATACAGGAAAGACTAGACTTTCAGGTAGTAGGCAGGCAAAGAAGCTGATTCTTTTGGCTGTCGGTGTTTCTACTTTACATTACCAAGCTGTCAAAACAAAATGTTTTATGATAGGATTAAAAAATGTATAAGCATCTGATTTGATTTAGTGTTTATATTTATATGTTGAACTGAGGAGAGTTTGCTTATCATAGGGGTTTAAAAGATTTACATTTGTCTGCTTCTTACTTCCAAAATGCTTTCCAGATCCATAGGCAGCCCTGACACCTTACTTCAATGAATGAAGCCCAGTCAAAAATCAAACAAGAGCTCTGCTTCTCCCTGCAGGGCCTCTCCTAACTTACATAAATAAACAGAGAGAATGTGGTTGCTAATGAGACATGGTTTGAGACTGAGGTGGGAGTGGTTAAAATTATCTTTTTGTTTAGCAACCGAAAATTCACCATTAGGAATTTCTCGCATTGTAACTGACCTTCCTAAAAGTGTGTTTATTTGCTTATTGTTATGAAAAGCTAATAAGGGACAAGGGTAAAACAGAAATAATGCATATTTAATTTGATTATAAAAAGTTAGCACAATTTGGCAAAGAGATATCAAAAATTCAAGTATCAAACTACTTTAGAGTAGGAAACACTTTCTGTATGTATCTTTTCCGATCACCTTCATACCCCATGAAGAAGAGTTTTCAACTTCAATTTACAGACACGGAAATGGAGGCCCAGAGAGGTTAAGTGTTTTGTGGAGGCAGTGGAGGTAGTTAATGGAAGAACTGGGGCTAGAATTAGGGCTTCTGGGCCCCTGATACTCTTTCCACAACATCTGCTTCTGATGATGGAATCCCATCTGTTATATGCTGAGGGGAAGAGGTGTGAGAAAAATAACTAGAGGAGCTATCAATCACTCAGCAAAATATTTATGAAGGACATCGTTCAGATATTAGGGGCGTCACCATTGTCACCAGCTCCGAAAAATCAGAGAGGATGATGAATTATGCCAAAGAGAACATTAGCTCATAAGGTAGAGACTATCTTGCAAGGATATACTTTTGTTAGTATGTATTATTTCCAGTGGGAGAGAATGGTGTGAGAGAGGAAAATAAAGGATAATTTTATAGGGAGTGAAAATAAGCTACACCTTGTGATTAAGAGAGAAATGTGGGAAGTCTCTTAAACCCAGTTCTAGGATCTGCCAGCATGAAAATCACTTAACAGTACGCAAATGACCTGGGCATAATAGAGTAAATCATGTCCATCCCGCCCACAGCGTATTTAGAAATGTGATCATTGATAACGACACTACAAAGTACTATTCCTCACTGGAAGACATGAGATTGGAAGGAAATCTAATATGGATGATACAAGGGGAGTAAGTATTAAGATTGGCAATTGTAGATAGGTGTGAAGTAAACTAAAACAATATAATTAAAGTGTAAAAGCCTCTATTGCACTGTCAAAGTGAGAGAACTGGGCAGAACACAGGGACTGCAGGGCCCTTCTCCCTCTAGGAATCTAGTGAAAAGACAGTCTGTTGTCCACCGTGGCTCCTCAAGATCCGTGTGTAACAGGACAATTGCCCTGAGAGTGGAGACTACATGGCAAGAACTATATAAAACTAGACACAACAACTTAAAGTTACTAAAGAAAAGATAAGGAGTGCAAAAGTGGGCAATAAGATATTGCTAGTAAAAGAGGTTAAATGGAGTAAGGAGGTCTTTTATAAATGTATCAGGGAAAAAAAGTGATCCTCAAGAGAAAAAGACTACTGAATAAGTAAGGGAAGGGTGTGAAATTAATGATGGCTGAGATATTGACTTCCTGCTTTAAGTCAGTTTTTAAGAGAGAAATGAGAAGAAAATCTGGACAGCTGGAAGGCAATAATGTCTTTTAAAAATAAGTATTGACAAAGAGGATGGGAGGAAATTTAGAAAAAAATTAAGCATTGTGGCATATACCGATTGTAAGTTTCAGATAATATGCTTCCTAGGGAATTAGATTCCCTGCCTGTGAACAATACACAGACATGGAAGAAGGACAATACAAACTAGAGAGATGTCGGAAGTTCTTCAAAACAAATGTGTTTCATATAACAGGAAAATAAGGGTTGGGGCAGATTGGGAAGGCAGACATAGGACAGGCTCTCTAAGTGTTGTGTAAATTTGTGGCATATTTAGTCATGGCTATGTGGCAATTGCAGTTTTTAGAAAAGTGGTGAAAACTTTCTTCTTGTATTCAGTAAGAAAGGAAATAAGTTGGATACCCCATACAACTAATATGTATTTTAGATACTTTAAAAGTATGATAGAGAGTTACTGTTTTATGGGAAAAAGTAGAAGAATGATGCAGTCCTT